GTCCATCTCCCCAGTGCTGGGATTACAAGACCATGCCTCTACACCTGGCTTTGTTACTTGGGTTCTAGGGAGCAACCCTAGATTTGGGTCCTTATGTTTGTGTGGCAAGCATTGTACAGACTGAGCCATTTCCTCATCCCAATACACTGGACTCTAGTTCCAAGGGTCTCCGTCTAGGGAGGGATGAAAGGGGCTGCTCTCCTATTTGGGACGGCTGCTGAGCTTTAAGGAGGCAAGGCTAGCATTGGGGAGAGAGACCCCGCTAGGGTGAGCACACTCTCTTCCATCTTCCCCATGTCCCCTCACCTCTCTGATTTCCTCCTTTGATGGTGCAGGGTCTGAGGCCTGGAGAGAACCTGCCACCGACTGACACAGCATGAGTTCCAGGTTCATACTTGAAAATGTCAGGATTGGGTAAAATAGTTGAAAAGTCACTTAAGTGGGAGAGGTTTATTCTGGTCACAGTTTGAGGGGATATGGCGCTTCACAGTAGGAAGGCATGCTGGTGGCAGCAGCCTAAAGAGGGCGAGGTAATGGCAGAGGAAGAGAGCTCAGCTTGCTTTTTATCTTTCAATTTCATCTGGGACCGCTGCTCGTGGGATGAACCACCCACATTTGGGGCAGATTACCACCTCAGTTAATTCTCCTTGAGCAGGACTTTGGTGCCTCACTACCGCCCTAGGCAATCAAGTTGACAAAGGATAGTCACAGGCCCTGACTCTGGTCTCACGTGCCCAGTCAGGTGCATTTTGCATTCCAGCCTGTTCCTCCGAATCTCAGGGTCCTGAGTCCTGCTTTCTCCCTGATCTGGAAGAGGTGACCTATGACCCCCAGGTCAACTGGAAAGGAGGAAGAAGCTTAAGCTCTCGTGGTGTTGAGTCAGAGAAGCCAAAAAGCTGGTGACCACTCGCTCCGCTCCGCTCTGGTGACATTCTGACTTTAGAGGCTGGGGGGAGTGGCCTTTGGGAGGCAAGAGGTAGGTGGTGCCTCCCAGTTCGCTCATGCTACACCATTTCCAGCCAGGAGCAGAAAATGAACACTCCAGAGAATCAACTGTGGCAGGTCACAACCTGTGGGAGCCCACAAGTTGTCAGGAGCCCAGCTCCTCCACTTACTGCCAGTGGCCTTAGGCAAATGATCTCATCTCTTTAAGCCTCAGTTCCTGTTTGAACTGAGAAGAGAAAAACCCTTTGAAGAAAGGGGTGTGGCAGGAACCAAGACAGGCTCAGAGTACCTACAGGCACTGGAGTCTCCCAAGCCCCTGCACCTGCACATGGGAGCTTGTTCTAAGACCTGGTTAGCAGCCAGAGCTCCCCATGACCAGAAGAAGGGCTCCTGCTAGTCAGGTGCCTGTCCATCACCTTCAGGCGCACCGCCTTATAGCAGTCATGCACTGTGCAAACAGGAGTATTAACTATAGTCCTTATAGATGTGCTCACTAAATGGGTCTTATACCTATCTTCCCTTCCCTTCCCTTGTGAGAACCTGACTTTGCAAACTCTATTTTAAAGAAGGGGCTTCATCTTAAGGTCCGATCTCAGCTCCAGAAATATGCTGCCACAGCAGAATTTGAACAGATACCCTGAAGATGGCCAATTAAGGAGCCAGGGAGCATGGTCATAAAATTAAACAATGTCCAGATGTTCTTTGGAGGCATCCTGTCCTTAAAGATACCTTGCCAGTTATTAATGGCTCTTTGTTAGGATTTCGAGCCCCAAACCTGACCAATGGTTTCAGAAACTACCTTCCCCTATGCCCTTCTTACCCAATCCCAAGACAACAGGACATGAACTCCCCTGATTACAGTGTTTCCCCTTTAAAAGTTCTACCCTCCCAGGGCTCCCTGCCACACTTTCCATAGCCACCATGCTGGGGTGTTGGAAAGGTGCTGGTTCAAACTTGTGTTTGAATATTTAAAACCCTCATGTAATTTGCATTGGAAATCCAGCTCCGTGAATTCATTTGGGGACCAGAAACTTGAGCATAACACCCTCAAGGCTTAGTAGTCATTCCACTTTGTGAAGAGAAAAACTGAGGTCCAAACAGGCTAACCCACATCCGAAAACCCACAGAACCAGTCACGAAAAGAGCTAGTGCTTAACCCCACGGGTTAGCTCTAGGACTGAACCCTTCTTATGTACAACATGAAGCCAGAAGACTTGAAATAGACGTCAGGGGTGGCTTGGCTAAATGACGGAATCATTGGCGCTAAAGTGGCCAGTCTGAGGCCCGCTGTTATTCTCTGTGAACTTACACCAGCTGCTTAGCCTCTCGGAGGATCCGTTACCCGAGGATGACAAGGCGATTGGGTCGCAGAGCCCACGGCAGAGGCAGTACAAAGTGCCCAGAAGCACCCCTTACTCCGGCTCTGACTGTTTCAGTGGAATCACGGGAATCTGGCCACCTTGACCTTGCCCACCTCAGTCTCCAAAACACTGTGGTGAGAAACCAAACCCCTCCCATCCTCCAAAGGCCAAGACTGACTGGAGGAAGCCTGAAGCTCTTCCATCCCACAGAGCAGAGTGTTTAGCAGCTATCCACAGCTACTATCAGGTGCCTGGAGGCTAGCCCAGAGGAGAAGACGTCTCAGTCAGCCAGCAAGATCAGGAGTATACCCCAGTTTGAACACTGAGCTATGTAAGATTAACACAAACTATTATTCTTTCTGTTTCCCATTTCCTTGTCTGTAAAATGGGGATAAGCACAATGCCTCCTGTGGAGATGAAAGCTAGAATCACACACACACACACACACACACACACACACACACACACACGCACATACGCACACACACACCCCTATGATGCAAGAAGACCTCACAGGCCACTATTTCTAGGAGAGTCAGGCACCCTGAGGTCTACAGGTTGAAGCCCAGAATGTGAATCTTGGGTACAGTTGGAGAGACCAGCCTGAGAGCCATTGTTCCCACTGTTCCTCCATCTTACCTTGCTTATCTGCTGAAGGGGAAGGTCCACACCCCACAATATAGGAGTGGGAAGGGCCTGAAAAAGCCACACAGGAAAGGCTGGAGAAGGGCAGGTGGTGCCTACCTGGAAACGGCTGTGGTTGCCCCTTGGCCCCTTCACGTCTTAGTCTCCTATCACCTGAAGGTGCTAGCTAGGTACTGGGCAGCTTGGTTCAAGAAGAGACCTTAGGGACTGCTGTTCCCATGGCAACAGGAGGCCTAGGTGCCACAGGTGCGATTAACTTTATCTTCCTTGTATTGCCCTGGTCCCAGATCTGCCGCCCGCTTGGGAAGTGTGGGAACCCAGGGGCCCCTCCAAAATCTCCCCAGGGAAACATATACTCACAACTTGCTGTCCCAGAGCTGGGTGGTGACCGAGGCTGAGGAGGCAGAGCCCGTGTTCTAGTCTGTATTTAAACAGTGGGTGCTGAGGGGCCAGGGGGAGTCTGCTAGTGAATATTAACCAAGGTCAGCACAGTTATCGGAGGAGCAAACAGAGAGGGACTAAGTCCATCAACTGGGCCCTGAGCTACCACCCACACTGTCCGGGAACAGAGCTCAGCCCTTTGTTCCCAAACCAAAGGTGTGAGGACATCCCCCATAAGCACAGCATCCAGCTAGGTGCATCTGGTGGCCTGAGTCACACAGCCTCTGGGAAGGCACCCATGGCAAGCCTTGCACTCTTCTGGAGAATGCTGGGGTTGCCTTTGTACAAACAAAATCAGTATTTATTGAACCACCTGCCTAAAAATGTATGGAACTGAAGATTCACTGCCTCCCCGGGGGCTCAGTAGGTTGGGCACACACTTGACAGATAGAGAAACAGGCCCGGAACAGGGATACTGTTCCTTTTAAGTGTTAATATTAAATTCTTATTTTCTTTACAGGAGAATGGAATGTGACCGGCAGTACACATCCGTGACAGGCTGGAGCACAGTGTCCAGCAGACAGGCTAGGGAACCGAGATTAGGTCTGTAAGGAAGAACGCTGCCCAGACAAGTTGCTTTACCTTTCTGAACCAGAGACATTTCTCCCTGTAGGATAGCAGATTGGATGCCAGCCAGTCGGATGCCAGCATGGTTGCTAGGGGTACATGAAGCACCTTGGGTAAAGAGTGTGCACAGTAAACTCTTTATCTAAGAAGTCCTTTCCAGCCTTCCCATCCCCCACCGTGCCCCTCCCGTGAGCTGTGCCTGCTCCCACACTGAAGTCAGTGTGGGGACTTCTCTCCTAGATGGGGGCTATCCTTGGGGATGGGGAAACTATGCAGGGACAGCCTCTCTGCTCTGAGGGGAGGAGAGGATGAGGCAGCTCTGGAAGATTCTGTCTGTGGTTTGAAGGGGTTCAAGGAGGAGACTATTGGGCTTTCCACTCTGACACTTTTCAGAACCTTATTCACATCCCACTGACCCTGTGAATGGAGTGGGTAGTGAGTTCACACACACCCCTACCCCTCCGCCTACCCCCACCCCGGTGGTCCAGTTTTCCTGGCTCTTGGCAGGGCACAGCAGGTGTTAGGTAGATACAGGACGCTCATATGTACATCCTCTGCCACTCTTGTTCCCTTGGACTCCACCTTAGGGTGCCAACCGGATGTTCCACAGGACCCTGCAGTACGTGATGAGCTCAGACCTCAAGCTATCAGACAAATCTTTTCACCTCCTGTGCCTCAGTTTCCCCATCTCTAAGATGGGGCTATGACTGCACATAACTCCTACAAAAACTGTATGCAGGGGTTCAAGGGAAGCTCAGAGCCTAGGGCTCAAGGCATCCAACTGCTCTTTCAGCTGATGCCCCTGCCAGTGGGTCTCCTTGATGTCACTGGATAAGGGTGAAGGTATAGGGTGGGGTGGATTGCATATTATCTCATTTAGTAACCCCTGTAGATCTGGGGAGTGGGTGGGAGTGTGCCTCCCTTACAGGAAACAGCTCAGCTTCTCCACCCCCATCCTCTTTCCCTCCCTCCCCCTAAACACCTGCCTTCCCGTCCTTGTATGTGGGAGTATTTCTTCTACATTCACCCAGTATCTGGAGAACCAGACTGAGGTTGAGGTGTGACTCCTTCTTATACTTCCCCTCTCTGGGCCTCAGTTTCCCCATCTGTACAATGCCCCTCCCATCTGTTGCACTAGGTGGATGGCAGCCTGTGTAAGTATCCTATCCTATCACTCTCCAGAAACTCAACCCCCTGGGGCAGGCAGCAGCCTGCAGGCAGGTGGGAGGTCCCAGAGCTCTACCTGAGAATCCTGGCAGCCAAGGCTCCTGCTGTTTCCACTCCTCCTCAGAGTCAAATCCTTGGTTTCCAAGGCTGTGTCGGGAAGCTGGCGTGCTAAGCGCGTCTGGTGTCTGCTTGCCAGGCAGGAGGGCAGTTCTGGACAGTAGCGCTAGGTCCGGGAGGGGCGGGAGCTGGGGCAGGAAGGGGCCTCGCCCTGTGCCAGGAGCACATCAGACCAGTCCTTCCTGGCCCAAGCAGTACTGGGAGCCACCTACTGTACTGACTGTGGCCACACCATATGACCCAGTGTGGGCTCATCTACACTGGCTTGTAAATGAACTGGTCACCTCTGGAAGAGGAAAAGTGGCCCTGGCTTAGAGGAGCTCATCCGGGCTGAGCCCCAGTATCTTGCCAGGTTTTCTGGGATTGTAGCAGCGGAAGGGCCATGCCAGGCTTCCGTGCCAAGATGAGCCCCTGAGGCTGGGGCAGGGGTGTGTGTTTGTGTGAGCAGGCATGTATGTTTTCATAATCAAAGAATGTCAGGGGAGACAGTGGGTGGGCTGGGCCATCTGAAGTGTAAATGAAGAAGACTGCAAAACTAGAGCCTCTGAGGCAAGGGGGGCTTCAGGGGGAGATCCTACCCCTTGGTCAGGAACCCTATGCCTAGTGCCCCTTGTCCTCTGGACCAGTATGGTAACGTGAGCAGAATCCCTGGGGGGACCCCACAACCACTCTCCAGGTCACTGTGTGGGTGTGTGTGTGTGGGGGGGGGAGTCTTATCCATTGGTTACTTCTAGAACTGTCTGTGGCGACATCTAGGTTGTTTGGGAGGTAAAGGGCTTCTGAGAAGATTCTAGGGAAATCCTGCACAGGGTTCTGACTGGATGTGGGGGGCCTTGAGTGTGCACTGCCCGTGGCTGGGCACTGAACTTGGAGTCTGTAGCAAAGAGGGGGGTAGGAGTCTCCTGGGGGAAGGTGGGGCCGATCTCATCAAGGATGTAAGAGTGATGGCAGACTTGGGAATAGCATTCTGGAAAGAAAACACACGCACATGAGAACACATACACAGAAACTCACACTCACAAGCAGGCATACACATGCACACAGACACACTGAAAGACACATATAGAGGCAGACAGACACACTGGCACACACATGCACACTTTGGTTTCATTTCCTTGTTAAATTAATGAAACTAGAGGCTTTGTGTGTTGGTTAATTTTTATAGCAAGCCCTTCTCATACTTTAAATTTGCTCATTTGAAGTTCTGGATCAAGGGCTGGAGAGATGGCTGAGCCATTAAGAGCACTGACTCCTCTTCCCAGAGGGCTTGAGTTCAATTCCCAGCAACCACATGGTGGCTTACAACCATCTGTAACTTCCATACCAGGAGATCTGACACCCTCTTCTGGCCCATGAGGCACCAAGAGTGCAAGTGGTGCACAAACATCCACGCAGGCAAAATACCCACACACATAGTATAACATGTGACATATAAAATATAACACAGGACATTATGACTGTTACACAGTTTTTGAGAGACTAAACCTATCCCAGCTTCCTTTTTGGTGGTTAATTTGCCACATTTTGCCCAATAGGAACTCTTGAGATGACGTGTGTATGTGTCTCTGTATGTGCATGCGAGAGGGAGTGGGGGGAGGATTTCTCTTTGACTCCTGCTGACATTTTGGGAGCCTTGTATTCTGGCAGTGACACCAGGTCAAGCCCCATGTGCATTTTCTCTAGACATGATGTCCCTGTGGGAAACAAATAAGGGGTTTGTGCAAGACCTTCAGTGAATCACTTGTGGAGTGGAACATGCAGGACTTGCCTTAGAGGGGCCAAGGGACAGCCAGTAGGTGTTTGGGATTTGTTATGAACTAACACAAGCTTGGCAGGGGTGGCTCAGACAACACGGGCCTCAATTCTTAGAACTTGCCCAACTCCGACCTTGGCTTGTTTTGACTGACCTTGTTGACTTTCTGATGTTGACCTTGAACATTTCTGTTTGCTCTATTTTACCAGGTCCCTCTCTGCTGTCATTTTACTACGCAGATCCTCAAACAAACTCCAAGATGGGGGCATCCCTTATTAATTTATGATCGACTCTTATCAGGTACTGTATGGCAGTACCTTGTTCTAAAAGGCATGAACTTGCATGGCCCCAGACAGCGGACACTCTTCCTACCTCTTGAGAAACCAAAAATCAGAAATGCAGTTAAAATGTGGTGGAGACATTTTTATTTGGGTGCTGCATAGCGGAACACATTGGAGGTCATAGACGGAGTGTTGGAAGCCAGGCTGCTGTTTCCCAGAGGTCAAGAAGTAAGGAGGTTTTATCTTATTTTATTTTTTTTAGAAAACAGAGACTTCCCCAGGGGAGGCCAGAAGTCTGGCAAGCTCAGTAGCAAGACAGGTGATAGGAGATTTTCTAAGTCCATGAGTCATATAGCCGCTCACTGGCCAAAGTAGTATTTCTCAAACCTTGCAAGGTATAGTAGGTTCTAGAAAATTGTTCCTTCTGGTAGAGCGATTTCCGGGCAAGATGTTTTGCCCTACTGAAGCCAGGCAGAACCTTGTGGGGGAAGGGAAGCCAAGAGAATGATGCAATCCGCCACCCACCACTGTTTTTCTCACACTAAGAGCTCTACCCGTTCTGACCTCCTGAACATGGTCCCCAATTTCTCATGGCGCAGACAGAGGGGGCAGGGGTGGAAGTAGTCGTGGGCGCAGTGGATGGCTGGCTGACCATTCTGCAGCCATTTTTACCTTTTAGGACAAATGTGGAAACTGCTGACAATGTGAGCCCACCCTTCTTTGCCACCCTCTCAGCTGCTTCTACAGCCTTTGTCCATAGCACACTCGCAGCCGCTGTTGATTACTGAGCCCCTGGACAAGACAGATGCCCTTCCGAGCCCTGCGTGGATGCTGATGCTCACCCTGCGCCCTCAGGTCCATGCTTGTTGGATTTCTACATTGTAGATGAGGCAAGAAAGGCTTACTGGACTTCAGCAACTAGCCCTAGCTCGCCACAGGCTGGTAGGGGACAGAAAGGGCAATCTAACCTGATGTGTGACTGGAGGAACGTGTCATGGATCACCAAAGCTCAGTTGCATTTCTAGACCGCAAGTAACCTGAGGCAGGGGGATCATGTTTTCTGCCTTTTTGGTTTTGTGCTAAGCATAGAACCGGGTGTCTGAGGTGACTGAAGGGCAGAGTTAATTGAGGGGAAGAAGTAGTGCCTTTCTCTTATTGGGTAGTTAAGGTGGAGCAGCTCCTGCCAGAGTGAGGCCATCTGGGTTGGCCGATGTTTGTGTGGGACATGTCACTTCTTAGATTAAAGGAACCAAGAGAAGCCAGGAATGATGCAGGCCTGAACTCTTCAGTTAGAGTATTATTATGAGAACTTGTTTCAGGAAAGTTTTTTTTTAAAGTAAATAATAATTAAACAAAAATCTTATATGCCTTGTTCTTTGAGCTGGAAGGGAAGACTAGAGAGACTGAGGGTGGCAGAGGAGATGGTCAGTCCTGAGACCCCACCCCACTCAAACCTGCTTCCTTATCTGGCTTCTCTGGAAGGGGAACAGGTCCTGTTCACGCAGGAGAGCAGTGTGAGGGCTGAGCTGTGAGGATGGGAGCCATTGCCAGGAAAGGGGATTGCCTCATTGATTGCCTAGAGCTCCACCCAGCCTGGCCGGTGCAGGGACCTCTCACCTTGACATCCTGGCCTCTGAGCTGACTAGCATATTCCTAGCAAATCAGCCCATTTGCTGGCAGATATTCTGCTAGCCAATTAGTGTGCGCAAGCTCTCATTTCCCAAAGGGCACTGTAAGAGGAGTTTGTTGTACCCTCCTCTCAGGGAAGGCTCAGAGAGACCTTTTAAGATGACCAATGATGCCAAGCCGTGGTGGCACACGCCTTTAATACTGGCACTTGGGAAGCAGAGACAGGAGGATCTCTGTGAGTCTGAGGTCAGCCAGGTCTACCAGAGCAAGTTCCAGGACAGCCAGGACTGTAACACGGAGAAATGGTGTATGTTGCATGCTCACACACACCATGCTCTCTCCCCTGCCTTTACATCTTAGGGCTACATTTTTTTCTGAGGCATTCTTAGCATGCAGAAGGCAGTGAATATTGAATTCACTGTTCAACAGATTTTCACGTCTGCAGACAAGTATGTAACCGCTCTTCTAAACAAAACAGCAAAGAAATTCATCCACCCATCCATCCATTCATCCATCCATCCATCCATTCACCCATCCACCCACCCACTCGCCCATCCATCCATCCGTCTACCTACCCATCCATCTACCTACCTATCCATCCATCCATCCATCCATCCATCCATCCATCCATCCATCCATC